AAACATAAATGACCAAACAATAATTAAACCGAATGCCAAAAAGTGACTAAAATAAAAGATTTACAACTATCATAGAAAAATTCGAATATCCAAGAAAATATCATAACACATGAAATTAATGACTAAAACATAAATACCGAAAAATTAGTGCTCAAAGTAAAATATTACACGATTTCGTTAATTACCAAAATAAAATAATTACAAACATGAGAAGACCTAAACTGTGATTTATCTTAAGAAATGATAAATACGAGTGAGATTACAAAAGGTAAGGACTAAAGTTGATATTAACCCCTAAAATGAAAACACGCTCAAACCCCTTTTGCCTAAATGGTGTCATTTCGGTAAGGGTATATAAGCCCAAAAACCGGGCTTCATCTCTCATTTCCCCTCATTTCTCTTCGGTTCAGAAAAAACAGAGAAAGAGAGTGAGAGAGAACTCTCTCATCAGAGAGGGTATCAACCCCCGCCGTCGGTGGTACTCATGGCGGCGCTCACGGAGGTCGACGGTGTCCGGAGAGATCAAACCACCCCACATGGTTCCCCTCAACCCCCTAAGCTCAAAACCCCATCTCGTTCGGTCTAAAAACGACCCCATACGCCTATATCTAAAAAAAGAAACCGAAAGGTTTACCTTACACCGCCACTAAACCCACCGTCCGATGGGGACATCGCCGAGATATGTTGGCTTTCTCACTGCCACACAACTTTTCACCGTTAGGATCTGTCATCCAACCGTAGGAGTAGTCGTCGTCGAAGACCCGAAGATAATCTCTTTTTTTTTGTCCGAATCTATTTATTTTTTACTCATCTTGTGTGTTTTCTCTCTGTATTTTCTTCTATATTTTTTCCTCCGATTTCTCTCTAAAACCCCAAATAATCCTCTGTTTAAATCTTCTCCCCATTTTTATTTGATCTGTGATGGCTTGTGTTGATATCATCAGAGTAAATCCCCTCAAGAATTCCATTTGATTTGTTTTTCATTGTTTATTTGGGCTTTTGACTGATTTGGTTGATCGAAGCAGGCAAACAATCACTGTAGATAAAATTGCAACGTCAGAGGTGGTCGGTACTGGCAGTAACAACAGACGGCGACGGCGGAAAAAGCTACCTAGGGTTATGATAAAACCCTAAGTGAATCGAGTCGAGTAAGACAAACAGGGTTAGGTTTGGATCCGGGTCTGCTTGGTCTCCTGTTAGGCTTGGTTGCTAAGTGGATTGTTAGGTTTCCACTTGGGCTCTGGGTTTGGGCTTGTCTAGGTCTTTTGTTGTAATTGGGCTCCATTTGATCCTACAAAATGTGTAAACAAAATAATTAATAATAATAATAATAACGATAATATTAATATAATAATAAAAAATTTTGAGACCCAGACAAAAATAGGTGTCTATAGCTGCCTCTCTTTGCACATTCTTGTGTTAACAATAATAGGTAAAAGATGAAAAATACAACCAATTTTTGTCTGATTTTTTTTTGTTTTGGAAACTTGATATGTTTTTTTGGGTCAACACTACTTATACGCGATGAAGAGTTATGGTCGTCTAAGGGTGACACAGCTCCTACGTGATGAGGAGATCTAGTCGGTAGATGACACTGTTCCTACGTGATGAGGACGTCTTGGCCATCTTTAGGGAGGGTGATAACATGGTTGCTACGCAATGCGGATTACTGGTTATCTAGGGTTGACACAACTCCTACGTGATGAGGAGGTCTGGTTAGTGGATGACACGGTTCCTACGCGATGAGGATGATATACCATCTTTAGGGATGATAACACAGTTCTTACCTGATGAGGACGACTGGTTATCTAGGGGTGACACGGCTCCTACGTGATGAGGAGGTCTGGTCGGTGGATGACACAGTTCCTACGTGATGAGGACGACATGCCATCTTTATGGATAATGTCTCAAGAGAGACTGTCTCAAGAGAGAAAAAAATCGTTTCAAAGGAAACGATCTCAAAGATGATGGTGTTTCAAGAGAAACTGTCTCAAGGGAGACAAAACTTGTTTCAAGGGAAACAGACTCAAAGACTTTTTTTCAAGACAAATTGTCTCAATGGAGACAAAACTTGTTTCAAGAGAAACAGACTCAAAGATTTTTCTTCAAAAGAAACTGTCTCAAGAGAGACAAAACTTTATTTCAAGAGAAACAATTTCAAAGTTTGTCTTAAGAAAGACTGTCTCAAGTGAGACAAAGTTTGTTTTGAGAAAAACAATCTCAAGTGAGATCAACTTTGTTTCAAGTGAAACAAACTCGAAATTTGTATCTCAAAGGAAAAATGTCTCAAGCGAGACAAAATTTGTTTTGAGAGAAATTATCTCAAGCGAGACAAAGTTCGTTTTTAAGAAAATTGTCTCTAGCGAGACGACATTTTGTTTTGAGAGAAACAATCTCAAAGGCGAAAAATAATCTACTTGTTCCTGCTGGTGGAGGAAATCTGATCGTTCACTTCAGGATGTTGAATCTGCAAAGATGCCCTAACATTCATCATATCTTACGTCAGCACTGATTCTAAGCATGAGCTTTGTGTCTGAGAGCCACATGTCAACTACCAAGATCCACTCCAGAGAGATTGTCTTGTTTGAAAAATGTTTTTCTTCTTCTTTTATTTTCAAAAGCCTGAAAATATCAATTAAAAGGATGTTGAAAATTGTTTAATCAAAAGTTTGAAAATATTGCCCATTTCTAAGTTTTACAATTGAGAAAAATTATAAAACAAGAGTTCATTAGATATCAAAGAATTAACTACACTTTTAATCCTTTAATAAATTATAGCTATTTGACAAGTGTCAAGATTATTGCTATCTTTGAGGTATGGTTAAGTAAGGAGAGGATAAAATGTCTCAAGTTGTTATTTTTGGTCAAAAGTTTGGCATTCTTATTTCTTTGATGTTCACTAATCTGATGGGGTAGCTTGTATGCTCCTCTACTGGAAGTGTTCTCCGACTCCCATCTCTCATGATCACACTCGGGTTGTGCAATGCCTTATCAAGGGATTTGTCCGATCTCCTCCTATGCAATAGTTGTATAGTCTTCATATTCGAGCTGCCTTTTCAGGTTTTCAACTTGAATCCTCCTTTGGTTTCAAGACGTTATTCAGAATTTACGTCTTGAATCCCCTTTGTTATTTTTTTCATCTATCATACATTAAAGATTTTAGAAAACCTTTTGTAAATAAAAGATTAATCCTGATGGGTGGGATGAGATATGAAGATAGTCTCTTATGTTTAGAAATCTATGTATGATTAAAAAGGACTTTTAAGGCACATAATGTAGGCCATGGTTCATAGTTATGAAAGAAATGGATAAAAGGTCCAAACAAGTGTTTAAGGGTAATTAAACCAAGGATCAATTCATTTTGACGCCTTCAATCTTTTCTTACTCGATTTGAATTTTATCGTATGTGTCTTTTATTTTCTCAATGTTCCATGATCTTCTGGTGAACTGATTCTGGAATGATTGTGCTTGATCAATCTCATGGTTTGAAGCTCGATGCGTCATTTGAGTCGAGGGACTCTTTGCATGTGCTTTTTGTCTTCTGTTTTCTTCGATCTTTCTTTGTTTTTTTTCTTTGTCTCTTTTTCTTTTCTTTTCTCTCTACTTTGATTTGATCTTTGCACTCTGTATTTGGATCACCTTTTGGTATCTCATCTGAATCAATTTCTTCACTTATGCGAGCAGAATTCCTCCACCTTGCCCCCAGTGTGGAGGGTGATCCTTGGTTAGGGTTGAATCAGAAGAAAACATAATTTAGGCTCAAAGGGGACACAAGGGATATATTTTCTCCTTTTTTGAATGGATAAATAAAGAAAGTCATTCATCATTTCATACACTGAAGTTTTTGCAGAAGAGGTATCCCTAGGGGGATAGATTTTCAGGATTAATTTTATTCACATGAAAACAATGTAATTAATGTATGATAGAATTATTTTGAATTAATTTTTTTTCTACTTGCTCCTAACATGTTTCAATTGTACAAACTCTTATTCAGAAAATTGATGTGATATGCCCCATATTGTCTTCTTAGAAAGACTCATGTTCAAGTGAACTTTTTGTACTCAATGTTTTCAGGTTTTATTAGTAGAAAAATGTCAGTTTTGTGTCTAAGAAGATGATGGTGTGACTATATTGGCTCAAAGAAATGTATGAGTATGACTTTTGTGTGTCTTGTAAAAGATAAAAGCAATGTTTAAAAGTCTCAAAGAGAGGTAATGTCAAAATTTGGTCTTTCGGTAGTAACCATGAATTATTTTAGGTAAAGAATCGGGAGGTTTTATTTTTGGCCTTGGACAGGATAAGAAATGTATAATCTTGTCATATGTCAAAAATCTATAATTCTTAAAGAATTAAAAGAATATTTAATTCATTCGATATTCGAAGAACTAAAGATTAAAACTCATTCAATTATTCAACCTTAGAAGGTAGCATAAGTTCAATCATTAAAAGATTAAGAAAATATGAAAGACATAACAAAAACGAGTTCAAACAAAACAATGCTCTCAATGCACGTGGTAAATGCAATGCCCCCATCCTTCTTCGATTGTTCATGCCCCTGAATCCATCAGATTTTGGATCTTACGCTTCAGTGCCTTACAGTTTTCAGCAGAATGTCTGGAGCTTCCTATGTGATATCAACATTATAGACCTCATGATATGGGGACTCTTTTCTCAGATCATCCTGGAAGGCTTAGTCCTACAATCAGCTGAACAAGCTCCCACCGTACTGATTTTAACTTCTTCTTTTAATTATTCAAATCTTACTTCTATGTGGTGTCACGTGGTTAGAACCACTTCATCAAATCCTCCATGAATTAATTCCATGTCTTCATGAATGATGCATGTAAAAATGTTTGAATGAATGCCATGCAGAATGCAATGATGCAAATGCAGATGCAAAAATGTTGATCCCAACGATGAATATCGTAGAACAATTTTTACCAGAGATAAAAGCCTCCACATTACAAGACATTCCACTTTACAGACATGCTTTCGCTTAGATGTTGAGTCTGAAGTGGATCACTTCTTCGTCTCGACTCTTCGTCCTTGAAAATGATGCCCCTCAAGCGTTCTGTAACCTAGCTCCGTCATTGCCCGGTGGTGGTGAAGTCAGTGCATCACTCCTTGGCGGTTAGTGATGGAACGATAATAGATAAGACTCTACTACTAGATTACTCCTCGGATCAGTGGATCATCTTTTCAGTCTTACATGTTGTACGATCTTTGAGCAAGTCTCATTTTTGTACTCTGAACTTCCTTTAGCCCTCAGTGCATGTATGTGTATGCGATTGCTTGATTGAATACTTTTATCTCTTCTTGTGAAATTTTTCTCTTGAATATCCCCTTACGGATCAACATTTTCGCATTATGTCATATCGATAAAATACAATGCAAAATGGTGAAAATGACACAAACAAAATAGAAAAGAAATAAGTAAGTGCGGGCAAAATAATCAATGAAATTAAAAGATGCTATTTAAAGATAAATATATAACACTTACCCAATCATGATATCTACCCGAGCATGCTTTTATTAGATAGTAATCTTACCCAGACATGCTTTCTACCCACAATGATTATTTTCAAGAAATTAATCCTAACCGCATGGTATCTAGTTCACATGCTTTTATTTAACAAAATTTAAAGCAAAAAGGAAAAGTCAAAAAATACTTCTCCTTTTTGTACACTTATTTTGGGTACCTACTTACGGACAGAGGTTCGGTATGTCTATACCTAAGTTGACCGTTCTACGGTTCACTATATACATGGTTTCGGCTCTAACGGGAAAGAGTACTCGAATTGTTCTTGATGCCGGTGCCCTCTTAGGCTGCCAAACCCTTAATTTTTATCCATTACAGGTTTTGAACGGAACGAGTTCAATTCGAGGGGATTCACTTCCTTATGCCCATACGAGGAATAAATCCCTGCGAATGTATAAGGTGTGTATCCCATGGGTTCTTTGCTAAAACTCATATGAATAATAAATTCTTACGAGAGTAAAGCATTCACCCCGACTTATTTGGATCGAAGCTTAGGTCTAGAGCTTATGTCATGAAAAATGCACGTGATGTGTGTGAGGAGGAGTGTACAAACCTTTGACTCAAAAGAAAACGAAACAAGGAAAAACATGATAAAAACCTTGACAAAAGCTGAAAACATAAATTAAAATGTTAGTATGATAATTCAAAGAAATGAAGAAATTAAAAACTTCAATAAATGGATAATAATTAACTAAAGACTCGAACTTATAATTCCTACCATTACGACAATGTGTAACCGACTTACAGCCTGACTCTCTAAAAAAAATCCCCAGCGGAGTTGCCAATCTATCATAACCATTTTTTTTATAAAAACAATTATGTATTATTTTTAAAAAACTATTATGACTTTAATTTAAAAAATTGGGGATTTTAAATTGATTTGAATTAAATGGGGAATTAGTCGCCATCGACCTTTGGGTTAGGTAGGTCGACTACCTAAAAATATATTTTAAAACAATTTTAAGGAAAAATCATTTTTAAGACAAAATGGTCTGCGTTTACCAAAGATTCGATTTGTTGGGTTCGGGAGTTGATTACACGTGGGGAAGGATTAGCACCCCCACAACGCCCAAAAACTGGTACTGGATCGCTTACACATTGTCGTAGTAGTGGAAATTGTGAATCAAATATATAATTAGGATGTGATCCATCTATTGAAATATAATTAATTTACTTCGAAATAACTATTTAAAAGAAAATCCTTTTACTCGATAAGAAATCTTGAAATTCTTAATCCTCCATCGGGAAACCATCTCAACCATTTCTCATTCATAAAAGAAAATTCTATCTTCGAATAACACATATCGAAATAAAAATGAATATTGGCATTTGCATAAAAATAGAATAAATTAATAAAAACACATTGAATTATTCATATAAAAATATTTATTTAATTAATAAAATAAAATAAAATTATTTCAAGTCCCATTTCATTCGAACGTCGTATCGGATTGTACCACTTCGATCAAGTGATACTTTTCACGCCCGTTCTACAAATACATGTTATTGAAATTGTTTAGATAATATTTAAATAAAGAAATACAATGGAAATAAATACGAATGGAAATATGCGAAATAAAATATTTACAACAAATAAAACCAATAATATTTATTTAATTACACAATATGTAAAATATAAAGGACTAGAATATATTAGATAACATTACGAATTAGAATACAAACAATAAAAATAAGTTCATTCAATGATTTATGGGACCAAAATAAAAATAACATAAACTTAAAGGACTAAAATAACAAAAATAGAAATTTGAAGGAATAAAATAGTAAAAACAAAAATTTGAAAGGTTTAACAGTAAATACAAAAAACAGATCCAAAATAAAAAAATATTAAACATTATAGGCACTAGAAATAAAAATAGCCCATAAATAATATACAAGACTGAAATGAAATAAACAGAAACATAAAGGACCAAACAATAATTAAACCGAATGCCAAACAGTGACTAAAATAAAAGATTACAACTATCATGGCCAAATTTGAACATCAAAGAAAATATCATAACACATTAAATTAATGACTGAAACATAAATATAGAAAAATAAGTGCTCAAAGTAAAATATCACACGATTTCATTAATTACCAAAATAAAATAATACAAACAGGAGAGGGCCTAAACTGTGATTTATCCTGAAAAGAAATGATAAATATAGGTGATATTTCAAAAGGTAGGGACTAAAGCTGATATTAACCCCTAAAACGAAAACACACTGAAACCCTTTTTACCTAAACGATGCCTTTTCAGTACGGGTTTATAAGCCCAAAAATCAGGTTTCATCTCTCATTTTCCCTCATTTCTCTTTGGTTAAGAAAAAATAGAGAGAGAGAGAGAGAGAGTGAGAGAGAACTCTCTCATTGGAGAAGGTATCAATCGCCGCCGTCGGTGGCGCTCACAGAGAAGGTATCAACCGTCGCCGTCGGTGGCGCTCACAGCGGCTGACGGTGTCCAGTGAGAGCAAACCACTCCAAATGGTTCCCCTGAAACCCCTAAGCTCAAAACTCCATCTCATTCGATCTAAAAACGACCCCACACGCCTAGATCTAAAAAAAGAAACCGAAAGGTTTACCTTATGTTTCCGCTAAACCCACCGTCCAATGGGGCCACTGCCAATATATGTTGGTTTCCTCACTGCCACACACCTTTTCACCGTTAGGATCTGTCGTCTGACCGCCGGAGCAGTCGTCGTCGAAGACCCAAAGGTAATCTCTTTGTTTGGTTCGAATCTATTTATTTTTTTTACTCCTCTTGTGTGTTTTCTCTCTGTATTTTCTTCTCTCTTTTTTTCCTTTGATTTTTCGCTCTCAAACCCCGAATGATCCTCTTTCTGAATCTTCTCCCCTTTTTTATTCGACCTGTGATGGCTTGTGTTGATATCATCAAAGTAAATCCCCTTTGGAATTCCATTTGATTTGTTTTTCATTGTTTATTTGAGCTTTTGATTGATTTGGTTGATTGAAGCAGGCAAACAGTCACTGCAGATGAAAGTGGTGGCGTTAGAGACGGTTGGTACTAACAGTAACAACAGACAACGGTGGCCGCAGAAGCTACCTAGGGTTATGATGAAACCCTAGGTGAGTTGGGTCGGATAAGCTGAAAAGGGTCGAGTTTGGTTTTGGGTCTGCTTGGTTTCTTGTTGGGCTTGGTTGCTGAGTGGATTGTTAGGTTTCCACTTGGACTTTAGGTTTGGGCTTGTATGGGTCTTTTATTGTAATTGAGCTCCATTTGAGCCTAAAAAATATGTAAACAAAATAATTAGTAATAATAATAATAATAATAATAACATTTTTTTGAGATCCCAAAAAAAAACGACTATCTACACGAAGACGATGCTTCCAGAGAACGCTGGGATGGAGGTGTCTACAGTGATGAATTAGAGAAAATCGAAAAGCATTGGAGTAAGGACAAGAAGAAGAGCAGTCGAGAAGAAGAAAAGGGTTACCGAAATAGGGATAGAGACAGTTCTAAGAGAAACAGCGATGAGGTCTTGAAAGAAAGGGAGAAAAAATCCTCGGAAAAGGATAGAACGTCAAGCAGGGAGAGGAGGAAGGATGAAAGAGATGAGCATGGGAAGGACAGAAGTAAAGATAGTAAGGTGAGGGAAAAAAGAGAGAGATTATGATAAGGATAAGTATAGAGATAAAGAACATGAGCGTGAGAGAGAGAAGGATAGAGGAAAGGAAAAGGACAGGGAGAGGGATAGGGGAAAGGATAAAACTAGAGATAGGGACAGGGAAAAGGACAGAGACAAGGTGAAGGGAAGGGAAAAAGAGAGAGAGAAACTTAAGGATCGAGAGAAGGTGAGAAGGACAGAGATCGAGAGAAGGAAAAGGAGAGAAGGAAAAGGAGAGAAGTAAGCAGAAAAATAGAGAGGAAAATTATGAAGGAACCAAAAATGGAGAGCTAGCATTAAACTATGAAGAGAGTAGGGAAAAGGATGGAGTTGATTTGAATGCCGGAAGCAATTCAGGTGTAGTGCAGGCATCTTCATCAGAGATTGAGGAGCGTATTGTGAGGTGAGTGGATCATTTAGTCACAGTTGGCCACAACTTGCCTGCATGTTAGACAAATTCTTGCTGCTTCATTCCATCTTTTATGATCTGTTACTTTTCATGTAAAATTAATATTCTGAAAAGCATTCTGCTATAGCATTTTTTAGATGGGAATATTAAGATCATGCAGCGATTTTGAGCTTCATTTTTATAAAGAATGACTATGATACTTGAGTCTTTAAAATATTTGGTGACCAGGCCAGAAGGTTCTCTAGTTGCATGACTCGGGCTTTATTTCTCAATTTGGTGACATAATTGGTCTTTGCTTTCGGATAGTGTATTCAAAGTCTTGTTTGTTTTTCTTAATTTTAATGCTTAACCTAATGCAAGTAATTATTTTTGCCTTTTTCCTTCTATTTGTCTGTTCAGAATGAAAGAAGAAAGATTGCGGAAGAAATCTGAAGGTATTTCAGAGATTTCAGCATGGGTTAAAATTGAGGAGAAAATTAATGCTGAAAAGGAGAAAGCATTGCTGCTATCGAAAATTTTTGAAGAGCAGGTTTGATTTCTTTGTTGTTTCTTTCCGACAATACTTGGTTTCTTCTCATTTGTAATATTTATTTGCGAGTGATATGAATGATGGTAATAATTACTTCTATGGAATAAATTTCTCAGGATAATTTCGTTCAGGGAGAAGATGAAGATGAGGAGGCTGATAATCACCCTATTCGTATGTTTGCTTTCCTTTTTAAGATTTTCTATTTGTAATATCAGTTATGTGTTTAATGTAGTGTGTTTTTGTTAGTGCCATATTCACCCTTCTTTTTCTTTCTTGAGATGTGCAAACCAAACACTGGAACTGATTATGTGAATAACTGAACCATTAATTATAAGTAGAGCATATAATTTAGGATATTGCTGAAAGTCGTGGATTAAGTTATTGCTATTTACAAACCATGTTTTCACTACTGTATCAGTATTCTGTAAAATACTTCAGATGGGTAGGCCAAAAGGGGTATTGTTCATTCTCATGAATAGGGGCTAATGTTTCATTTCGAGTGTCATGTCATTTTTTATTCTTGTATCTCAGCACCTGACTGGTTGGCTCTTTTTTAAATGGGCAATCTGTTAACAGATGATCTAGCAGGGGTTAAAATTCTTCATGGCCTTGACAAGGTGATGGATGGTGGTTCTGTTGTCTTAACACTCAAAGATCAAAGCATATTTGCTAATGGCGACATTAATGAAGGTATATAAGTGTTGGGTTGCTACTCATGTATTCTTTTTTTGTCTCTGTTTGTGATGTGACATAGATTTTGTGTAACAGAGCTTTCTGGTATGATCCGACAGATATTGATATGCTTGAAAATACTGAAATTGGAGAGCAGAAGCGGCGAGATGCGGCTTACAAGGCTGCAAAGAAGAAAACCGGGGTTTATGAGGACAAGTAAGATTCTGATCTATATAGCTGATTCTAATAGTTTACCTCAATTGAGTAAAATTAAATATTTAACCCAAGATTGAACTAAATAATAGGTCAAGCTTTTTACCCTTCTTTTTAAACAAAAGTTTAGATACTAATCTAGGTTTATCTCTATATTACTGTATGCATTTCATTGGAGTGTTATTTGCCTATTAGCAATTGTATTTACCTTTACTATGTAATCCTAGATTGAACAAAATATAATAGGTCAATTTGTTGACTTCTTTAATCAAAGTTTAGATACTGCTTACTAGTTTAGGTTCAAGTCTATATTACTGTGTACTCATTTTTCTGAAGTGCGATTTACCTATTAGCAAATTGATTATTTACATTTTGTATACACTCGTTTTTTTCCGGGTCGAAAAATTATTATTATTATTATTACTATTACTTTATTTACATATTGTGTAGGCCTTCACCCGAAGCCCAATTACAACCTAAAGCCTAACTACATGCAAGACCCAGATTACATAAGCTCAAATCAATGAAGCCCACCAGCAGATATAGTTGCACATTTGTCGGATTTCAATCCGATCCGGATCGGTTTTTATCCGATCCGGTTTTTTCCCATAGAAAAAAAATCGGTTTATAAAATAACCGGTTCGGTTTCTAACCGATTTGGAGGGCCGGATATCCTAACCGGTGTAACCGGTTTCGGTTTTAAAAAAACCGGTTTTAATATTCCAGATTGCTCATAGGGAACCGATTCCCCCCAAAGGGGGTACCGATTCCTCACTGAATGGTTTGGCTCCGAGATTTCCAGAATGCTCGGAGGGAACCGATTCCCCCATAGGGGGTATCGATTCCCCCCTATTCAACGGTCGAAATATTTGAATTTTACACTTAGGGAACCGATTCCCTATGAGAGGGTATCGATTCCCCCACGCTCCAAGCATTTTTATTAAATGTTTTCACACTTAAACGGCTATATTATCTTCATTAATTATCACTAAAGTTCAGAAGTGATTCAAGGTGTATTTAAGCAAGCTTAGAAGCCATTGATCAAAGACAAGAAACATCAAGCAACTAGAATCAAGAGAGAATCAAAGAGAAAGCATCAAACCTCAAGTTCGATAAATTCAAATACTTAATTGAAATACTTAATTAACTCAACATAATTGAAATACTTAAATACTTCCAAGTTTGATAAATTCAAATACTTAAAAACTTCCAAGTTCGATAAATTCAAATACTTAAAAACTTCAAGTTCGATAATTGAAACAAAGTTTACGATAATTGAAATAAAGTTATAAAATAAACTACATTGCCATCTCTTCTTCATCATCTTCGCCTTCTTCGTTTGGAGGAGATATTCCAAGTTCGACTTCTTCAATGTGTAAGTTTGCTTCCAAATCGGCATCAATTGCATCTTCTAGGGTGGTGATATGTTGCTTACGAGCCGCTCCATCCAAATAATCCTTTAAACAAATGCATACTTCCACCGACTCGGGACTTAGTCTTGATCTCCGTTGCGATATAACCCTGCCACTAACAGAAAAAGCGGATTCCGAAGCTACCGTAGAAGCTTGGACGGTTAGTAAATCACGGGCCATGGCAGCTAGAATCGGAAATTGTGCTTCCTTTTCTTTCCACCAAGCCAAAATATCCAAACTTTCAAACTCTTCAAATGTCATTTTTGATAGAAAATCGCATGACATGTAATTTCCCAACTCGCTACTTGGGGTGGTAGTACGTGATCGTTTGGATTGGGAATTTACAAGAGTGTTAAAAAGATTCAAATTTATGTTACTTGGACGTCTACTAGATGATTCCGCATTCATTCTCATTTGATCGTGTATTACACTACTTGATCCGTATTTAGTTAAATAAATTGCAAACATGTCTCGAAAACATTTGTTAAAATAATTTATTTGGTTTTGGACAAAGTTGCGTTCATCATCGGTTAGATTAAAAGCAAACGTAATTTGTTCAATTAGTGTTTCAACCCCACCAACATTTAACGTTGGGTTTAAAGCGGCGGCACAAGTAAAAATGGGGGGAATCTCCTTAAAATATTTTAAAAGTTTTTCCTTCATTGCAAAGCTAATTTCTTGAAAAACTTTGGTTTCAAATTCAAAGTCATTTAGTCGGGTAGCCAACAAAAATATTTGATTAAGAACCAACGGGCTAGTAGGGTAATAAACATCGGATAAAAAAGTTGTTGCATTTTTAAAAACCTCAAGCAAATCGGTTATTTTGGCTATAGTTTCCCAACTCGAATCCGGATAAATGTTTGGGACATGACCCCTCTCGAAAAGTCGATCGTGAAATATTTGCAATGTTTCCCTTTGCCTTAAGGCAGTATGCATCATCATCCAAGTTGAGTTCCAACGAGTTGGACAATCTAAATTAGGACCCAAAGTTTTTTATTAACGAACTTACAAAATCGTTTATAATCATTTAGTCTTTTGTTGTTGTTACAAAGAATCGATTTTATCATTGTTTTGAATTCTAATCTAATCGGCTCAATAACCTCCAAACCGGCTTGCACGGATAAATTAATTATGTGTGCAACGCAACGGGTATGAAAAAACGCACCGTCTAAAATCGGTGAAAGTAATATTTTCAATCTTGGAACCGCGTTTGTATTATTCGATGCATTATCAAAGGATATAGAAAAAACTTTATTTTCTAATTTATAAAGACAAATTACCCTTTTTAAAAGTGTAAATAAATTAGCACCGGTATGCGGCTCACCGAATAATTCAAACGCGATTGTTCTTTTCATCATTTGCCAATTATCTTGATCTAACCAATGTGACGTAACGGCTAAAAAAGAATTTCCGGTATTATGAGGGGAACTCCAAACGTCACATGTAAACGACACATCATAACGGTGTTCTTGGAATCCTAAAATCATTTTTCCCTCGCCGTACGCCACATTTTTATAGCATCTCTTCTAAGGGTAGTACGACTTACTTGAGTATAACGTGGTTGCATTAGTTGTTGAATTGTTGTCGTGAAATCTTCATCATCAAAGTGGTCGAACGGCAATGCTTTTGTAATCACGAACTTTGTAAACGCTTCTCGTAATTTTTCGTTGTCGTAAACAAAAACACCACCTTGCGGTGTAAGATTCGATTGACTAGGATCCGATCTTGAGCGAAGTGCCTTGCATGATTTTGTCAAATGGTTCTTCAACGTTGTGTTTCCTTCCGATGCAAGAAACTTTAGACAAAGTTTACAACGCGCCCTCCTTGAGCCATTTGACATCTCACATAAATCGTAGTGATCCCAAATATCTTTGTTTCGAGTGTGTTCGATCACTCTCACGACTTCAAGGTTTCCCCCGTCGGAAGATTCAGCCGTGTTACTCATGATGAACAAAAAATTACAAAAATAAGATTTGAGAGATGTTTAAGTGTTGTGTAATAAGATTTGAGGAATTTGTAATCAACCAAATACATCCCCAACCTATTTATACATGTTTAGGGTGGTAAAATGGTAATTTTTTAAAGAAAAAACGGTCAAAAACGGTCACAAAACCCCCCCAACGGCTATATTAACGGCTAGTTTTTTAAACCCAGACCGGTTTTTTTTTCCGGATAAAAATCAGTTTTTTAATCGGTTTTTTTTCAAACCGGTTTTTTATCCGGTAAAAAAACCGGTCTAGGTTTTTTTCTTCAAACCGGTTAAAATAACCGGTTTAAAAAAATCCGATCCGGTTAAAAAAAATCAGTTTTTCCCAAAACCGGTTTCGGATATTTTTTTCGCAAAATCGGATATTCGGATTTTTTGTGCACCCCTACCAGCAGATACCAACCCAACAGCCCGACCTGTTTACAGGATCTGACCCGACCCAGAGATGACCCAATCAACCCATAAACAAAATTAGGGTTTTAATCCTAAATTGATTCCAGCGCCGCCAGCAAGCAGAATCCGAATAGTCCACCGGCGCGTGTGAGGCATGCATTCCTCCAATCGATGCGTGAGTCGTTATCGAGCCACTGACGAGCCGCTGCCAAACCATCGAGCCATCACCGACAGTCCTCGTCATAATCCACCTGCCAAACATCAACCAAATCCCACTCAAAATACCAAATCCACTAAACCTACTTTTAAATCAAATAAAATCCAAGAAATTTGGTATTCTTACATACTGAGTAATTCAAAAACCCTACCACCATCGGATCTCATCATTCGATAACCCTACCACCACCATATCTCATCATTCGACAACCGAAAGAAGCTATAAATGAAAGGGGGAAACATTCGAAGAAAAAAAGGAGACAGAGAAAAACCACAACACCAAAGAGAACCATCAAAAATATAAAAACGAGAACCCTTACTGTCGTAATTGGTTTTCGCCCGGGCACGAAATTTTACTTGGCGGGAAAATAATGTGAATAAATGGTTTTTTAATGTTTAGGGAGTCGCCATCAGCCTTTTGGGTCAGGTAGGTCGAATACTTAAAAATTTTCTTTTAAAATAGTTTTTAAGAAAAATCAGTTAAAAGATAAACTGGTATGCGTTTTAACCAAAAATTCGTTCTTTTTAATAATAAAAAGGGATTCATGGTCGATTATGTTTGGGGAAGGATTAGTATCCCACAACGCCCAAAATTGGTACTCATTAATTATAAATTGTCTTTATTATAAGAAATTTAAAAATTTAAAAATATATTTAATTTATAATCTTGTTATTTCAAATTTATTAATATAATTTTAAAAAAATCTATTAATTTATATATATAAATAACATATTTACTTAGAAATATCTGAAAAAGACTTCTAGGTGTTTTACGACAGCCCATTTCTTGATATTAAAAAATAAATAAATATTAATAATATATATATATTTAAAGAATTAAAATTAATATATATGTAATTTATAAAAGTAGAATATTTAATTATTTAGAAATATCAGAAAAAGACTTCTAGTAGCTTTAAGACAACCATTTCCTTAATATTAAAAAAATATTTAAAATATGATTATTTTTCCTAAAAGTAATTTATATAAATTTAAATTTATAAATATGATATTTATTTAATAGAA